ACCCCCCCCCCCCCCCCCACCCCGTCCTTCTTGTTCTTGTTCTTCTTGTTCTTTGGGTTCTTTTTCTTCTTCTTCTTCTTTTTCTTCTTCTTCTTCTTCTTCTTCTTCTTCTTCTTCTTCTTTTCCTTCTTCTTCCCCCCAACCCCTTTTCTCAAAGTCCTCATGGCTCTTGTGGGGTTTACCCCTTCTGTCCTATCAAACATCTATCGTTTTAATCTTTCCACCTTCTTTCCTGTGTATGTTACTCCCTAGAAACACCTCTAATATTTGGTACTTATACGATCTAATTGTTTTGCAAGTGACGCAAATCTCACACCACCCCCAGGGCGGTGCTACTGACTGAAGTGTCTTTAGGCCATTCCCAGAGGGGGGACATTAACCTGTTCTTAAGCACAGAGGAATTGTAAATTGTAAATGGGCTGATTCATCGATGTCATGCTCATAACTGTGCCCGAACTTTAACAGGGAACTGCTGCTTTTTCTTTCCTAATCCTTACTATCGTCATTTCTCCTCTACTTATTTTGTATGTTTGTCACACTCTTGTGACCCGCTATTTCTGGGGTGCCTTGACATGATAGTCGAAGCAGACTTTGTGCTGTTGAAGCTAGAGAGGTAAACAGAGTAAGCCCGATTCTCTGTTGACATCCACACCCTTGGCGCTCATATGACCTTATGCAGTTGCGAGCGCCGTAAAACCTCTACTAAAACAAAACAAACTCTCGCCAGCACTAAATCTGAAGTCTCCATGTCTGTCAGCGCAATGCCAGCCAGCACCATCAATGTAATGCAGGCCTGCAGGATTTTGGGAGGCAAGGGAGGCTACCAACTATTTATGAGATCTCAATTTTGTTTCCGGATTGCCTCTCCTACTTAGCTGTCTGCCTTGTTGGGCACATTTCTGTCTTCGTCCCAGTAGGATGAAGTCAGGAGAAGCCAAATACACCCATTGTTTTCCGACCTCCTCGAGGCCCAACCTCTCTGAATGGTGTGATAATAAAAGCCCACAGTGACATCTTTTCTAAGATGCGTGATACAAAAAGTGCGCGTGCGCGCGCGTGTGTGTGTGTGTGTGTGTGTGTGTGTGTGTGTGTG